CTGCTCTGGAACCTGAACAAGTCCAGGGTTCTGGATGAAAAGTTACTACAGCCATTGGCTACCCCATTTCACTCCATTACTAACAAAGTTCAAAAGTCACTCATTTTTCATTTTCTATTTCATGTTTCTTGAGAAACAGTAAGGATACAATGAGTGGGCAGAAGGAGAATGTCAGATGAACTTGGAGAAAGTCAGAGATTAACTTGGTGCTTTCAAAACAAGAGAGTGTGGCCGGCCATGCTGAGTGCCACCTGGAGAGCCCTGGGCACAGCCTGTTCAGTAGGGTGTTATTTACTGCTTACACACACTGAGCTATTCACTCATTCTAAAAATGAAATAAACGGCCTCCTCCTTCTTCCTTCCCACCCGCTCCTTTCTCCCTCACTCCTCCTTCTTCCTTCTTGCATATTTTTTCTGAAAAGTAAACCAGACAATAGCCATTCATTTCTTATTCACAATGTAACATAAAAATGATCTTTAATAAAAGGTCATGGTTTCCAGTTTCCAAAAAAAGGGAAATTTAATTCTGTTCATAAAAAATTGCATGGCTTGAATGGAAAAGGGAATTTCCCCTTCACTCTTTCTAGAAAGGGCAACACTGAAAGCATAGATTGCATGGTCTGTTTAAATATGAGAAGGAATTTGACCACACGAAGGCTCTGTAGAAGGGCCCAATTATACACCACCAACCAGGAAGAAGAGAGCTGTATGGAGTACAAGCCTTCCCCGCACTCTGCACACTCAATCTCTTCTGAGCCTTGAGTTGATTTCTCTGGTGGTCACTTGAGGAGAGTTGAGTGACTTCTTCTATGGCTCCAGATGCAACCAGGAAACCTGCCTAAAATGGCTGTCCTTTTTTGAGATACCCCTAAGCTTCAGGAGTTCTCTCCAAACGGCAATTTTAGGAAGGAGTGCCAGAAACCAAGGGATAAGTGACTGACACCTCCTCAGAAGGAGGAGTAGGCTGGAGAGGCAAGAGCAATCAAATCCCCTGGCTGGCTAGGTTTTTTTCTTTACTCTTTGGCCCCAGGATTCCTCTGGAAACAGAAAGGAGAGCAGGCTGACCCAGATGGTGCGATCGTAGGGCTATGACTGTGTGGAAGAGAAATAACTTCAGCAAAGCTTCCTGAGATCTGTGGTTTAAGGAGTAGTTAGTTACCTTTCATTTCTAGGATGCTGTATTTTCATCCCAGTGGGCCCTGAGGACTCCTGGGTGGGATTGGGGGCTGGAGCATGCAAGATCTATCGAAAGCCCAAGAAGCAGAGCTTGTGGTCAGAGGGCCAGCTGAGCATCCCCTTTCTGTGAAATCCCAACAAATCTAGGAGAAAGAGAGCGGTAGAGGCCATCTTCTAGGAAAATTACCGTAGATTTCAAAATCTGCTGGTTATCCAGATCGAAGTTGGGGAAGCAGACTACTGCACTGGGGGGAAGAAGAGAAGGGGGACGTCATGGACTTCCCGCAGGTTTCTTTCTGTTCTGTTTTCCTTGCTGAGTTCATCTTCTAGTTTTTTTCCTAGTCTCCTTTAAAATATTCAGCCTTACAGATGGTGTGTTTAGGGTGACTAAAGTTCAGGGACCAGGCTCACTTGGGTCCTCAACATTGGGTCCATCAACTGTGCCATCTTTCAAGGAGGAGATGCTAACCTAAACCTGCATCTTTGCTTTTAGCTTTTTCTTTTTAAATTTCTTCTCCTGCATCCTATCTGTTTGGATAAATTTTTTTTTGTTCTAATCAGATATGCATGACAGCAGAATGCTCTTTGATTCATTACACACACAAATGGAGCGCAATTTTTGACTTCTCTGGTTGTACCCAAAGTAGGGTCACACCATTCGTGCAATCATACATGTAACTAGGGTAATGATGTTGGTCTTATTTCACCATCTTTCCCATGCTCCACTACCCCATTATGGATTAGCATCCACTTATCAGAGAAAATATTTTGCCTTTGGTTTTTTGGGATTGGCTTAGTTCGTTTAGCATGATATTATCTAACTCCATCCTGGAATGCCATAATTTTATTCTTTTTTATTGCTGAGTAATACTCCATTTTGTATATATACACCACAGTTTCTTTATCCATTCATCTATTGAAGGGATCTAGGTTGGTTCCACAGTTTGGCTATTGTGAATTGTGCTGGTATGAACATTGATGTGGCTGCATTACTACAGTATGCTGTTTTTAAGTCCTTTGGGTATAGACCCAGGAGTGGGATAGCTGGGTCAAATGGTGATTCCATTCCAAGTTTTCTAAGGAATCTCCATACTGCTTTCCAGAATGGCTGTACCAATTTACAGTCCCACCAGCAATATGAGTGTGCCTTTCCCCCCACATCCTTGCCAACACTTATTGTTGTTTGTGTTCTTGACAACTGCCGTTCTGACTGGAGTGAGATGAAATCTTAGAGTAGTTTTAATTTGCATTTCTCTAATTACTAGAGATGTTGAACAGACCAATATCCCTGATGAATGTAGAAGCAAAATTTCTCAAAATTCTAGCAATTGCCTACAAAAAACATATTTTAAAAATTGTGCACAATGATCAAGTGAGATACATTCCAGGGATGCAAGGTTGGTTCAACATACAGAAATCAATAAATGTAATTCATCACATCAGTAGATTGAAGGATAAGAATTGTGATTATATCAATTGATGTTCAAAACACTGTCATATTCAAAACACTAGAAAAACTACGGATAGTAGGAGCATACCTCAACATTGTAAAAGTTATCTATGCTAAACCCAAGGCCAACATCATTCTAAATGGAGAAAAATTGGAAGCATTCCCTTTAAAAACTGGAATAAGACAGGGATGCCCTCTTTCACCACTTCCATTCAACATAGTTCTTGAAACTCTAGACAGAGCAATTAGACAGATTAAAGAAATTAAAGGAATATGAATAGGAAAAGAAGAGCTCAAGCTATCATTATTTGCTGACGACATGATTCTATACTTAGTGGATTATTTTAAAGAAAATTTTTTATAGTTGTAGGTGGACAAATAACCTTTATTTTATTTTTTTTATGTGGTGCTGAGGATAGAACCCAGGGCCTCACGCGTGCTAAGCAAGTGCTCTACCACTGAGCCATAACCCCAGCTCTCTTAGTGGAATATTTTTGAGCTGGCAATTTTTATTTGCTTTCTTAATATTCTTCAAAAATCAGCTCTCATTGTGTCCTTTAAAGCCTAATGTCAATATATTCTATAAAGTCTATTCTGTTGATCCAATTATTGCCTGACTACTCTAAGTGCACTTAGTGAATTTTTTGGTACACTTAGATGCTGTATTAGTTAGGGAAGTAGAACCAATAGTGTGTATATACATGTGTAATGCTGTGTACATACTAATAATATGTTAATAATATATATAATAATATGTACTAACATACTATAAACTAATAATATATACTAAAACTGTATACATATCTATATATGTATATAGAGACAGATTGATTTACTTTAAGGAATTGGTTTATAAGATTGTGAGGCTGGCAAGTTTAAAATACTGCATATAGGCCAGTATTTATTTATTTATTTTTGCACTGGGGTTTGGATCCAGCGGTGCTTTACCACTGACCTACATCCCCCATCCTTTTTATTTTTTTGAGAGGGGTCACTAAGTTGTTGAGGGTCTCACTCAGTTGCTAAGGCTGGCCTCCAATTTGTGAGTCACTGGACCAATTAGGGCTGATTTTGCTGCTTAATCCTAAGGCAATCTGCTGGCACAATCAACCTCTTCCTGGGGAGACAAATATTTTCCTTTGGGGTTTTCAACTGATTGTTTGAGGCTCACCCACAGTATAGAGGGCAATATGCTTTACTTAAGGACTACAGATTTAAACGTGAATCTTATTTTTAAAATATTTTCACAAAGACATATGGAATAACACAAGCGAATATCTGGGTTTTTGTGGCCCAGCAAATTGACATATAAGCTTAGCAATCTAAGTGTTCCCTGAGTCTTTTTGAATTGACTGTACAGGATATGTAAGCAGATGCTTTTGGGTTCCTATTTCACCTGTACTAACTTTCTTTGGTCTTCATATTTTCCCAACTTTAATTCCTTTTGACACATTTATATCTTGTGGTATATATTTTCCTTTGAACCTTGTTGCTTTTTATTTACTGGAGAGTGGGGCCCTATTAACCATTTCCTGTTAGCTCACTCTCTATCATTACAATTTTTTTAAACTCTCCTTATTTAGGCAGTCATTTTACACATGCAGACCCAGGAAGTGTTAGAGATTTGTTGAATTTGTTTTGATTTTCTGTGCTTCTGTTTTTCTTCTCTTCAATTTTGGCCTTGGTGTGGTAGGAGAGGAATTGTGCGCCAGGACCTCCTACTCTTTTGGTATTAGTCTGTGAGGGATTTTATCCTACAAGCATCACCTTATGTGAATCTTTGGAGTTGATACAGTAATTGATAAAGCTAAGGAGGTTTCTTTCTTTTTTCTTTTTTTTTTACTTAAAAATTGTATTTACAAAATGACCCCATCCCATCCCAAATGTGCTCAAGATAAAGACTGTAAGTATATACAACCCGAGTGGTGGAATCCCATTTTACTGGGGAAGTGGGGATAGAACCAAGGCCAGGGCATGATCAGTACTGTTTTTACATTATTTGTGCAAATACTGTCACTTTTGCCCAGGAAAGCCTGGCATGAATATAGGCCAAAGTGTCAGCCCAGGGCCGCACGAGAGTCACTGAGATACCCAGACCAGGGCCAGGATCCCGGAGCCTCCACGTTCTCCAGCACCAGGAGCTTCTCAGAGCCCCGCAGAGCATCGGTGGTCGGTGACAGCGGTTCCCGATGCTGGGGCTGGGACGCAGAAGGACGCGGCCTACACGGAATCCGCTTTCCCGGCCCGGAGACCCGCTGGATCCGGTCTGGCCAAGCGCAAGGAGGCGGCGCTTGCTGGCGATCTGCTGAACTTGGGCGCGGCCCGGGTCTTGGCCCCGCGGCTCCGCCCTCGGCCCCGAGGCTCCGCCCCCCGCTCTGGTTCCGCGTGCTCCCGGCTCCCGAGGCGGCCACCCCCAGCCTGGCACTCCGGGATAGCCTGGCTTCTTCCGCAACCAGAATTCCGGGCCGAGGATCCGCCCTCGTGCCTAGCGCTCCTCTCTCGGAGGCGACCAGGTACATCTTTCTCCACCAGACGCCGCTCTCCTTTTGGTGACCCGGTACCCGTTTCCGGCGCCCCCAGCTCGCACCTCCCCTTGGCAGGTCCCAGCCCCGCGCGCATCCTGAAAGTGGAGGGGCCTCCGTGATTCCCAGTGTGGGTGCCAGCCGCTTTGCAAATCCTATGTGTCTGTATGCTTACCTCTCCCCCCCCCCCCCCCCCACCCCCCCCCCCCCCCCCCCCCAAAAAAAAAGAAAGCAGAGGACCGTAGTTTTGAGTGTACAGAATGTGAACTGTGAAGCTTTAGAAAAGTTTTAGGAAAAACAGCGTCCCGTGTGGGAGACTAGGTAATGTGCGAAAGTGAAATCGAATTTCAGAAAAAGGTGAGGGTCCTCTTCCTCCACCTTGCCGCGACTCACAAAACACATGTTAGGGTGGAGCCGGAAAGAATTACACAAAAGAAGCCGAGGACTTTGGGAGGGAAGATAAAGGATGTTGAAAGTTAGCCCTCAGAGGACAGCTAAGCTTGCTTGGGCTCTGAGAGTCTCAGCCCAAGACCAGATCTCAGGGAAGCATGGACATCCCCCCTCCTTCTCTGGTCCCTTTTACAGATGGGAAAATCTCAAGCTCCAGGAGGGATGGTTTGTTTACAGTCACACAACAAATTCTTATGTGAGCCAGAATTCCAGTCCTAGGCTTCATTTATAAATAACAAAATATGTAAATCAGGCTTTAAAAATATAATTTGTGAGCCAAGAAGCTCCAGCCTCCTCAGGAACTGCACTTTGGATGTTCAGTTCATCATCTTCATCATTCACTGCTTCTCCAGGGGTTTGCCAACCTGCCCTCCCTGGCCTGGGGCAGTGCAGCTGGAGAAGGACCCCAGAAGACCAAGGAGGACCTGATCTAAACCCTGGGAAGATACCATTTAGGTGAGTGGAGGGGAAGAAGAGCAATTAAGTGAAGAAGGAGCTTGAGCAGAGCTCAAACTTAAAAAGTGTTTGCCAGTCTGTTCAAGGGGGGTGGATGGCTAGGGTGGGCAGATGGTGGAAGGATTTGAACCTGATGCTCCAGGGAATGGGGCACACTGGGGAACTTGGGAAAGAAGGGGAGGGGGCTGTTAGGAAATGCACCTGCAGGGAAGCCAGCAATTTAGCGGGAAATTTTTTTTATTTGTTCTAATTAGTTCTACATGACAGTAGAATGCATTTTGACACATACATGAATGGAGTATAACTTCTTATTCTTCTGGTTGTACATGATGTAGGATCACACTGGTTATGTAATCATATACGAACATAAGGCAATAATGTCTGATTCATTCTACTGCCCTTTTCACCCCCACCCTCCTCCCCTCCCTTCACTCTCCTCTGTCTAATATGAAGTACCTCTATTCTTCCCCAGCCCCACCCCCTTATTTTGAATTAGCATTCACATATCAGAGAACTTTTGGCCGTTGGTTTTTTGGGATTGGCTTATTTTGCTTAGCTTGATAATCTCCAGCTCTGTCCATTTACTGGCAAATGCCATAATTTCATTCTTCTTTAAGGCTGAATAATATTTTATCATGTATACATACTACATTTTCTTTATCCATTCATCTGTTGAAGGGCACCTAGACTGGGTCCATAATTTAGGTATAATTTAGCAAGGATTTAATCTGAGCTGGGCATACCGAGATCTCAGTACTCTAGAATTCCATGATTTAAAAGAAAAACAAAGTTTAAATATTGCTATTGAAGCAAAGATTATGGGGAGAAAGTATTCTGTTTTAATAACTGAAAAACCTTTTCTCTGGTTACACATGAATAATAAAAATAATTACAAAAATAGTGCCTACTGTGCACCTGTATTGTTCTCAGTGCTTTATGAAAATTAACTCATTGACTGCTCACAACAAATCCATTAGAATGTTGCTATTATTATCCTTACTATTTTACACATGTGTAGGCTGAGGCCCCAATGGGTTGTCCAAGGTAAGTAGGCCAGGGCTGAGGCATAATGGAATAACACACTGGAATTTCCGGCCCGTAATCTGAAGATTCCAGTCCGGGGGTTTTCACCTCTGAGTATGTGAACTTAGCTTCTATGAGACCCAGGTTCCTTATCTGTGAAATGTGTATTGCAATCCTTCCCTGCTAGTACTTAGCTTCTATGAGCCCCAGTTTCCTTATCTGTGAAATGTGTACTGCAATCCTTCCCTACTAGTGAGACACAGTGTCGGTGCTTTGCAAACTGCATTGTGATACTTCTAAGGTCAAGTCTCAACTAAAAAGAAAATTAAACACTTGGATTGACTTGCATAATTTAATAGGCTTGCTGTTCACCAAGAGGCAAAGATATCGTCATAGTTAAAATCCTGGGCTGTGTAGTCTGCTAGACCTTCATCAGAATCCCAGTCCTGCTTCATGTTAGCTCTGTGACCTGAGACAAGTCTCTTAATATTTCTGAAACTGTTTCATCTCCATGATCCTCAGTTTTCTCAGATACAAGATGGACCTAATGATACAGTCCTTATAGAGCAGTTATGAGGATAAACGAGATGTACTTAATATGATGCCTACAAGAAGTAAATGCTCAATCAAATGTACTCGGAGCTCTTATTTTTCTGATTCTTTTCCATTCTCCTTCAGGTATCTATATTGCCCCCTAGGACAGCCCCTGCAGAGCCCAGCATGTGTGGGGGACTGCTGGAGAGGTATATGGCTGCCATGGTGCTAAGTGCAGCTGGAGATGCCTTGGGATACTTCAACGGGAAGTGGGAGTTCCTCCGGGACGGGGAGAAGATACACAAACAGTTGGCCCAGCTGGGCGGCTTGGAAGCCATCGACGTGGGGCATTGGAGAGTCAGCGATGACACTGTGATGCACCTGGCCACAGCAGAGGCCCTCCTGGAAGCTGGGAAAGCCCCTAACTTGACTCGACTGTATTCTCTCCTTGCTAAGTATTACCAAGACTGCATGGAAGACATGGATGGCCGGGCACCAGGTGAAGGCTGGGGAGGGTGAAAAGAACACAGGCCTAAGGAAATCTTTAAGAACGTTTTCCTTAAGTTTGGTACAAACTCAAAAACAAAAAAGAAAAATGTTGATGGAAATTTAAATATTGAGTGAACACCAGCATGGTGGCTGCACGCACCTGTAATTCTAGTTACTTGAAAGGCTGAGGCAGAAGGATCACAAGTTCGAGGCCAGCCTCCTCAATGTAGAGAGACCTTGTCTCAAAAAAGGGGAGGGAATCAGCTGAGGATATAGCCTGGTGGCAGTGCTCCTGAGTTCAATCCCCAGTACCACAGATAGAAATAAATATATATCAAGGAAACAGTAGTGTTGATAGTAGTTGTGCTAAAAAATAGAACCAAATGTCTTGTAATTTACTTAATAATAGCTGTGCATTTCCACATGTAAAATTATGCAGGTGAATAGTTGCTGATATGGAAAGGTATTATACATTAAGTGAAAAGAAGTAGATTTTAAAACAGTAGATGTTTTATGAAACTGCTGTCATTAAAAGTGTAGACATGTAGCTCTGTGTTGGGAGAAGTCTGGAAGAATATAAGCAAAGATGCTAATAATTATATGTAAGTAATAGGAGTAGTTATTTATTTTCCTTTTACTTATTTGTATTTTTAAAATTTTTGTTGTTGGTGGTTTTTTTTGGTCATTCCTGTTTTTGTTTTTGTGGCAGTGAGAATTGAACCCAGGGATGCTCTACCACTGAGCTACATCCCCAATCCTTTTTTTAGAACTTTATTTTGAGACAAGGTCTCACTAAGTTTCCTAGGCTGGCCTCTAGCTTGTGATCCTTCTGCCTTGCCCTCCCAAATAGCTGGGTTGTGGGAGACCAACCTTGTGCACATGACTGAGTTGGTCTCCCACAGCTGGTATTTTCTAAGTTTTTGTAATCAACAAGCATAAAGGAAAACATATTTTTTTCTCTTAAAGAAAAATGGAAAGGATTCTGTAGAGACTCCTCATGTAGTCCTAGGTCTTCTCACAAATGGTCTTGGCCACTTTGGGAACTTGTTAGGGTCCCTCAGGCCATGAGGTGATTTGGGTCACCTTTTTCTTGCCCATCAGATTGACCCCTCTTCCTGTATTAGTCTGTTAGGGCTACCATAACAAAATATCATAAATTGGGTGGTTTAAACATTTATTTTCTCATAGTTCTGGTTGTTAGAAGTCAGAGTCGAGTTGGCAGGTGTGACTTCTTCTGAAGCCTCTCTTGGCTTGCAGATGGCCATCTTCCGTGTCCTCATGTGGTGCGTGCAACCTGTGTATCCAGGTTTCTCTTCACCCTAATGCCTCATTTTAGCATCATCACCTCTTGAGAGGCCCTGTCTCCAAATTGAGGTACTGGATGTTTGGGCTTTAGCCTATAAATTTGGAAGAATAAAGTTCAGCCCAGATTACCTCCTAATGAAAGCGCCTCTCCACCATACCCAGGGGCTTAAGGATGGTCCTTAGAAGCCAATCCCTTTTCATCCTTTCTTTGCAGCTAATATCTCCTTAGTTTAGCACATAGAATATTTTCTTTGTCTACCTATGCCATCCATGAACATAGATGTGAATTAGCTGACTCATAAGGGAACAATAATATTACACTCCAAAGTATGCTTTGCCATCACTTGGCTCCATGTGTATTCACAGCCCTCAGTACAATAAGTCAGTGGACAAGCCTGCTTATGCCACTGTCACAAAGGGACAGCCCAGGTCCACTACTCCTTATCTGAGCCCAGTGCTTCACCCTACAATTTGTGTCTTCTTTCCAACATCTACAGACTCTTAATTAGCAGGTTCTTATTGAGCTCTTGAAGGACTTGGGTTTTGAAGTCTGGTGGATTTTACTAGGCCACTAACTAGCTGGTTATATGTTTTTGGTTTTTTTTTTTTTTAGAACTTTATCTTATTCATTTAAAACAGAGAATAATGTGTTATACTGACTTTATTGAATTCTTGTAATGTCTCTATGATAATTGGTAAAGATTCTAGGGCTCTTTATATGAATCTGCTTCTTTTTAAATTAATATTATCATGCAAAGGATTATATATGAAGTACAGCACCTTGTTGGGTTGGGGCTTAGAGTCCAGGGGCATCTGTTGTCATAATTTCTTGCCTTTCCCTTTCCATCAGGGAACTTAAGAGATTAAGTTCCTTCTTCCTCCTGGGGCTTGGCTTTGGTTCCACTGACCGCCATGCTGGCCTGATTCCTCCAGGTGGTGCCTCGGTGCAGAACGCCATGCAGCTGGAGCCGGACAAGCCCAATGGCTGGAGGATTCCTTTCAACAGCCATGAAGGTGGTTGTGGGGCTGCCATGCGGGCCATGTGCATTGGTCTCAGGTTCCCTCACCACAGTCAACTGGACATGCTGATCCAAGTGAGCATTGAGAGCGGTCGAATGACCCACCACCACCCAACAGGCTACCTGGGAGCCCTCGCATCAGCAATTTTTACAGCCTATGCTGTGAATGGCAAACCCCCGCAGCAGTGGGGGAAAGGACTGATGGAAGTGCTGCCAGAAGCTAAAAAGTACATAGTCCAATCAGGCTACTTCGTGGAGGAGAATCTGCAGCATTGGTGAGTCTTTAGATTCCTGCGCAGGCTGGAATGTGGGTGAATCTGCGTATGTATATCCAAGATTCAGAGATGTCCACAGCCAACATGGTTTTCACCACTCAGCTCCCTGCTAAGGATTTCAAGTTCCCTTGCAGACACAGTTACCCCAGAGCAGCCAAGTGGGCACCTCGATGAGCAGTGTAGCCACAGTGCCTCCATGTTATGTTGGGATTCTGTTTTGTGTTTTCTATGATTTTTGTGGCCCTCTTGCGTTATTTTCCAAGAATTGTTTCCCTCTTACTTGGAGCTTGCTTGTTTAGTATTGGCTGGACATATAAACAATATTTTTAAATCCTTTCTTAGAAGCTCAAGAGCTAGGTTTCCCACTAGCTAAATAATAAGTGGTAAGGCCACTTCTTCCCCTTTTTGTAAGTTCACTTTACATTCCCTTTCTTAGAATAAAAAGGTTCAGAGACTTTCTGCTGAAGTCACGCCCGGTCTTGATGTCCTAAAGTTCCCCAGGAAAGATGACATTTGGTATTTCTCTCCACCTAAGAAAAATAAACCTTTATTTCTTACCTTTTAACTTGATATATATCTATATTCTTTATTTAGCAACCTGGTCAGTGTCTCGTTGGATGTAGATGCTTAGTGAAAATTTGTTACATGAATCACACTTGGAACTGATTTTGATTTTCTTTGTTGTTGGTGATACTAATGCAAGAAGTTGAAGTTGGAATTTTCTCTCGTCACACACACCCACCTGGCACCTTTTCCTTACAGCTTTAGACTTTAGTTTTTCAATTGACTATAGATTCTCTTTTTCTTCCTACAGGTCCTACTTCCAAAATCAATGGGAAAATTACCTGAAACTTAGAGGGATTTCTGATGGCAAGTCAGCCCCTACCTTCCCCCAGCCCTTCGATGTGAAGGAGAGGGATCAGTTCTACACCTCTCTGAGCTATTCTGGCTGGGGTGGCAGCAGCGGACACGATGCCCCCATGATTGCCTATGATGCCATCCTTGCCGCGGGAGACTCCTGGAAGGAGCTTGCCCACCGAGCCTTTTTCCATGGTGGAGACAGCGATTCTACAGCAGCCATTGCTGCCTGCTGGTGGGGAGTTATGCATGGTTTTAAAGGAGTGAGTCCCTCCAACTATGAGAAGCTAGAATACAGACACAGGCTGGAAGAGGCAGCTAGGGCTTTATATTCTCTTGCGTCAGAGAAAGACACTGCAATGAGCCTTTAGGGAGATGTGAGGTTCATTTCCTGGGGCTCCTTCTGTTCAGTTTCTTTTCACTTTTTAACCTTGTACTCAGGGAGTTTTGAGACAAGTCCCTTGAGCACATTGAGGTCAAGCTTTCCAGACTCATCCTTTTCTTTCTGAAGCTATTGTAATAAAGTCTTTTATCTTTGTTGATGGGGTCCACATCTCCTAAGCTAGAAATCTCATCGCCTCGCATTTGAGTCTTCATTTTCATCATCCAATCATTCTAAAAGATTTTTCTGTTTCTTCTTCAGTTGGGTTACCCCTGCCCCAAGTGGACTCTGAGACAAGGATTTATTCGAGTGGAAGGAGTTTATTTGGAAGGCAGTTCCAGGAAGCATGAGTAGGAGAATGGGGAAGTGAGACTGGGAGGGAAAGGAAGCGAACAGGGTGTGTGAGTGAGCAGGTTTCCACTGTGGGCAGTTGGGCTGCAGTCCATCTGGGCCCTCTGCCTAAGGCAGTCTGCAGAGTTATTCCACCTAAAGAGCAAGCAAGCCTGGGGTATTGATCCACCAACTTCCATCTGGTATATCTCAGCTTGCCTTTTGCACAAGCCAAACATGAATGTCTTCAGATGGAGGACTCAGAGATGCTTGCAACAGTGAGCTGTAAGGTATATGGGAACAGTGAGAGGTGCACGTGAGGCCCTAACAGCATCTGTTAGGCTGTTGTACCTCTTAATATACTTTAGATCTATATTCTTTTACTTCGTTGCACTGAGTATTTTTCAGTGAATTCTGCAATCCAAGGAGCTCAGGCCTAGGCAGATGCTGCTTCTAGCTTCTCTCAGGAGTTCCTCGTGGCCTTTCAAATGTTACCAGTTTTGTTAGTATCTGCTTGTCTGTATTCTCCCCTGACAGAACATAGCCCAGTGCCTGGGCACCCAGTAGACACTCCATCAGTATATATTAAATGAATGCTGCTACCTGCTCTCCTATCTGGTGTCCCCTCGTGACCCTTGGGAGTTATCTGGACAAATAGTTTGATCATGCTAAGCTTCTAGTCAGGTTCCAGTAAATACATCATCCCCTTTATTTCTTGACGCAATTCTTTCTCCTTTTCTGCCTGGTAAATTCTCACTCATCCTCCAAGGCCCAGCTCAGACAGAACCTGCCAGGTGAAATCTCTGATTGCCAGGCAGTTGGTCACTGTCATCTCACTTCATCCATGGCCTTCTGTCCCAGCCCTGTCACCACACTGATCCTGTTGTGGAGTGATGGTGTGTTCTGGGTCAACCTCAGGCACACACTGTCCAGCAACCAGCTGGCTTGGAAATGAGAAGCCATGTCATCTTTCTGTGATCACCTCCAGTCTGCCAGGAGAGTAGGTAAAGGCCCATCCTTGTTGGGTGTTGTTGGGTGGTGAGGATGAGAACTCCTGTGCTTCCCCTTACAGTACAACCCCAGAATGTGACTCCTGTGATTTCTCCTACAGATCTCTGGTTTTCAGCTGGGAGTGGGGTTGGGAGATCTGATAACAGCAGTCCAGCTATCTACAGGGCTTTGTCTTTCCAAGTCCTTCAGCCTCTTTAGGGTGTGGTGGAGGAGGTGGAGGGAGGGTTGGGGGTGTCTTGGCATCTGTTCTGTGCTGTGGTGCTTCACCACAATTGGAGACAACCAGAAAATAGGGGGGGAAAAAAACTCTTATTATATTTAGTTACTCATTCTCACTCTTCATCACAGGCACACCTCAAAAAATTGACTTTTAGACTCCCTTTTCTCAAACCTCAACATTCCTCCCCAAACCTCACTTTTGGCTGATGACCTCGCTTCCTATTTCTCTAAGAAAATAGAAGCGATGAGAAGAGAACAATCACACCCTCCCATCATCACCTCTGCCCATCCACCTGCATCATCCTTCCTGACCATAGTGCTGCAGAAAGAGGGGGAGGGAGAGGGAGAGGGATGAAGGAGAGGGGGAGAGAGTAAGGAGGAAGAAGGATGAGAATGAATGGGGGAATGAGATAAACTTCACTCTATGCATAATGTTAGAGTAAACCAATAAAAATGATCTTAAACACAGTAATAAGTTTCTCATGTTCATTCCATTAACCTTTGTGCACTGAAAGCAGAATAAACCACAGGTAACATTACAGACTGAGGATGCTTTTCTGACTTGTTGTGGATGGTGCTTCCTTTGCTTTTCTTCATTACCTAAGATGGCTTGATGCTAGAAGTCTTGGTGCCATAGTTTGGGTATGAAAATAGGGAAAAAATATGGATATGAGGTGTCCATCAGAAGCTTCTGTGTTAATACAGGAATGTTCAGAGGTAACGTGATGGATTGTGAGAGCTATAATCTAACCAGTCCATCCTAACTGGGAGGAAACCTTAGGCAGGTGGGCCGTGGCTGGAGGAGGTGGTGCCCTGGAAGTGTTTTTCTTCCCTTCAGGCCCTTTCCATCTCTCTCTGCTTCCTGGCCACCATGAGCTGAGCAGTCCTCCTCCACCATGTCCTTCCGCCATGATGTCCCACCTCACCTTTGGCCCAGAGCAATAGAGCCATCCCACCATGGACCAACTTCTGCAAATGTAAGCTGAAATAAACTTTCCCTCCTCTGAGCTGGTCTTATCAGGTGTTCTGGTCACAGTGACACTAAGCTATCACACTTGGCAATAATTTTCTTTCAAGATCTGTCAAGTTAGCATTGATTGACCCACCTTTCTCCAACCACATTCTCCATTTATTCTTCATTTTCTACCTCTTCAGAGTTAGTAAATCTGCATCTTTTTTTTTTTTTTTAAAAAAAAAAACAGCTACAAAGCTACTGGGCTGTTGTAGGCAAGGAGCAGAGGCTCTGATGATTTCACAGTCCACCCAGCCTACTGGACCAACTCCTCAAGGAATGACTGCCTGGGATCTGGGGCCATTCATATAGGGACTGGGGACGGCCTTCATAACTTTTTTTCAGGGGAGGGGGCATTTGGGATGAGTGACACCTAGGGAGGTGATGAAACCCCTTCCATTTGGGAAGGGAAAAGGAAAATGAGGAACAGTGTTGTTGTGTGTCAGGCAGTTCACAGCAACCTATTATTGAATGAAGAAATTGGGCTCAGAGAGGTTGCCATCTGTTGAAAGTCACACAGCTAGGGTGAGATAGAGCTGGGTTTCAAACCCAGGTTTGTCTCTATAAGAGAGTAAAATATCAAGCCATATACTAGGCAAGTTTCCAGCAGACACAGCTGGCTGTCCTCTAAAATAATTCAATTATGACACTGTCTACCTTGAGTTTGCATCGGATCCCACAGGTTGAGGGGTTGTTCCCACAAGACTGCCCCACCTGAGATGCCAATCAAAAGTTGAAGGTGGCAACCTGTGCTTCGTGCCAACCAACTGTGGATCAGAGCTCCCACGACTCCCTTCTACGTTCAATTAATTTGCTGGAGCAGTTCAAAGAACTCAGGGAAACACTTATTTAGGCTTATCAGTTTATTATAAAAAGGCGCTCACAGAGGTCACAGATAAACTGTCAGATGGACGTGAGATGCATAGGGCAAGGTGTTCCTCCTAGAAACTATTATGTGTTTAACAATTTGAAAGCTCCCCAGAGTTTGGAAAAGGGAGGGTCAACCAAAATCAAATTTTGGTTTCGTGGCGGTTTCATTATATAGAGCATGATTGATTTCATCAGTGATGGTTGGAGGCCAACTTAGCCTTTGGCCTCTCTCCCCTCCCTGGAGGTGGGGGGTGGGGTGGGGATGAAAGTTCCAACCCTCTAATCACATAATCAGTGGTTCCCCTGGCAACCAGTGTCCATTCTGAGGCTATCCAGGAGCCCATCTAGAGTCACCTCACTAGAACAAAACAAAGCAACCCTCCCCCAATACAAAAACAAAAACCTTCAGGAAATTGCAAAGGTCATGGGAGCTCTATGTAAGGAAACAGAGTCAAAGATCAAATATTAGGGGGGAAAAAAAAAGATTCTCTTGCATCCTAATCTATAGGTTTTAGGAGCTCTGTGCCAGGAACTGGGTAGAGACAGACACCAAATCTATATTTCTTACTCTATGGAACATTACAGTCTCCAAGGCCTTTTACCTTTGCACTCTAATACACTCTAATGCTTAATTACAAGAGTTAGAAAAGTATTCCTTAGAGACAAATGAAACTCAGGAGAGGCTGGTGATGGGGATGGCCAGGCCCTTTTCAATTCCCACACCAAGTGCTGAACAAAAAGCATGTGGGTTTGAGATCCACATTTGGTGGCAGGGTAGGAAGAGGGCAGAGCAGAGTTCAGGTGCAGTTGTGAGATGGGCAGTGTCCTCACGCTCCAGCACTTTCCCTCCTCAGAGGGCCTCCTCTGCCCCTGCCCTCATTCCATCCTCTGGCCATTGAGAAGCCCCTGCCCAATGCTTGGACCATAATACCCACTTCTGTCTCTGTGTCATGTTTGGTTACAGCTGCCCACCGCCCCCCCCCTTGCCAAAGCTCCCACTTCCCCTTTCTAGGGGCCTTATTGTCATCGTGTACACTAGCTGAGTGACCTTTCAGGGTCTCTGGGTTTAGACTCTGATACTCAAAGAATGTGAGTCTGAAATGGGTTTGTGTGAAGCTGGGGACAGAATCAAAGAAAGAATCCTTGGGTGTCTCCCCCTCTACCCACTGAAGTTTGTATTGTTAATAAAAGATCATGCCTCAACCCAGTGTTTCCCATAATTTTGTCTGGGCTATGATCAGTCTTCCCTCATGGCCAATGCCAGAAGGCAAAGGTGACACATTCCACCTGCCCACACACTTCCGAGGCTGCTTGTGTTGTCTTCCTGTAAATCTGCCTTCTGAGATACATTTATTGAAACATATTTCAATAAAACATCTAGTCTGTATTAGTATGGGTGATAAGTGGATAGGTATGGCAGGAACAGGGAAGGTGAGATCTGAAAAAATGAAATGGGAAAACATGACTTTGAGCAAACAAGGAATTTCCAGCAAGATGATTTTATTTTTATTTGCAGTGCTGAGGATGAAACCCAGGGCCTCATGTATGCCAGGCAAGCACTCTACCACTGAGATACCCAGCAGGATGATGTCCATGGAGACTGTTCAGTAGAGGTGACATTTGAAATGATGTGGCCTTTCTGGCATTTCTACTGCACCAAGCCCAAATCCAGGGGACTTGGAAAGGGGGCACTCTCCAAACGTGTACATTTGCTCCCTACTGCAGGAATATGGGGATGACTGTGAATCTCTGCTTCCTGGCCATGAGTAACAAGCCTGCTTGAGGCTTGCTCTGTGATATTTTTCAGAGAGCTTCTTTGAAATGTGTTTTGCTACCAAACATGCTATTGGCCCCACTGAGTCTCAGATTACGAGGACTAACCTCAGTTGGGGCTAATGATGCTTCCCTTGACAATGTCCTAAAAATGAGACTAGTGTAGTGTTTTAGAATAAAATTCTTGCCCTGTCATTTTTTTGTAGTCTTGGGAAGCTATCAAACCTGGCTCTGCCTCTTCCCACATGTGTAAAATGAGGCTAATAGTAGCATCTACTTTATGGGATTGTATATTTTTGCAAATAGTATCTGGCCCATGCTAAACACTCACAAATGGAACATGTCAGCACACACTACCTACATATTACTGATATCTTTAAAAAAAATGTATACAGAGTCTTCTTTCTGCCAGCCTGTCATGAAATGGGAGACCCAGGGAAATCCCCAGACACATCACTTCCAGCCAGTTTCTTCTACTATTTGGGAAACTTCTGACACAACCCACAGGGTTTTCTCTCCCTTCAATTTTCTTGTGACACTGACTTGCAGCACCACATGTCCCAGAATGTGTGATATACCCAGAAGGCTCACAAATAATTTTTCTTTGAAGTTAGGCGCTCTCCAGGAACAAACTAAATCACAGAATTTAAAAATATATATATTTTTAGTAGTAGTTTGACAAAATATGTTTTTAAAATTTATTTATTTTTATGTGGTGTTGAGGATCGAACCCAGTGCCTTGCACATGCTAGGTGAGCACTCTACCACTGAGCCACAACCCCAGCCTCTAAACGGTAGAATTTTAGCATCAACTCTCTCATTTCAAAGCTGCCAACAATTTTCAATCTCTCTTCAATACTTGGGGACACAGGGGCTGGGGATGTGGTTCAAGCGGTAACGCGCTTGCCTGGCATGCGCGGGGCGCTGGGTTCGATCCTCAGCACCATATAAAAATAAAATACAGATGTTGTGTCCACTGAAAACTGAAAAAAAAAAAAACTTGGGGACACAAAAATTCTCTGTTAGGGCAAAACCACAGTGGTCTTTTGTCTGAATAAATGTAAGACTCCACCTATTCTTTCTGAGAACAGACAGAAATATAGCTGTTTTAAAATAAAGGCTAGAGACTGAGGTTGTAGCTCAATGGTAGAGCTCTTGCTTAGCATGCATGAGCTGCTGAATTCCATGCCCAGTAGGAAAAAAAGAAAGTTAGAATGATGTAGTCTGGAGTAAAAGGGGCAGGAAACGCTTTCTTTCTCCATAAGAATTTAGCTTGTTCTATATGTGAAGCAGTTTCACTGCCTACTGTTTACCAACTTGTCAGAGTCTGGTGAGACAGCACACCCGTGTATACACCAGTTACAGGAAGCAGGCTTGTTACTCATGGCCAGGAAGCAGAGATTGATTGGCAACCACTTCCCCAAGGCTCAGGAATGATGCCCAGGCAGATGGAGTTTCATTTGCATCTGCTCCAACTGCGTCACAGCTGAGGAGCCCCAGAGAGCAGCCTGCCCTGGTTTTACACCCTAGGGACACATGATTTGCTGGGCTAAAGCATTGAAGGACATTCTGATTCTGGGAAGGGGGAGGAATGGAAGAGGGCTCAGGTTGTTCCAGCCAATTCTCCACTATTTCAGGATGCTGCGTTCCCAGCACATTCTGCAGTTAATCTTGAGAACTACAAACAAGAAGTGGCGGAAACTGGGTTGATTCAAGGCCACTAGAGAACTGTCCTGTACTATGCTTGTATATTATGACTTTTTCTGAGCGGAGCATGTATTTGTAAGTGCATGTGTGCCTGCATGTGCACATGTGCA